GTAATATTTGCCTCCCCTTTTATTTAATGAATGTTTTCTTTTATGAAAGGAATGGAGTTCAATTGTAAATATTTACAAAGAAAATTTAAAAGCAGAAGCAATCCATAATTTTCCACGCAGACATGACAATTGCCATTTGCATTCAGATGCCTGATCGCTTTACCATACTCAACAACACCAATTTTACAAAACTGGGATTATGTATTATTCACAGTTCATTTTATTTCTGCATTTACTTACCAAAAGCTCACATTTTATCAGTCTCTACAATAATTATTTTAAATGGCTATACAATACTAAATCATAAGAATTGATATACTCTTATTTTCAGTTTTGAATTACAATTAAAAAACACTTTATACAAACATGTAGATCTGTCTCACTGATGTCTTTCCTACAAAAAAAGTTTTTGAATTTCTTACAAAAGAATCTTTGATCTAGTCTGTCTTTAACACAATATTCCTGAGAATTATGCTCCATGACATAGCTTTTCTCTAGTAGGTGCCTCTCTGAAAGTGTTTTCTTACTTATATCATCGTGTGGGACTTTCACCTTGCACTAAGACTGTTGCTCAAATGTGATCACGCCAAAGAGAAATGTCCCTGAGCACCTTTATAAAATGTCATATCCATCACCTCTAAAATCATGCTTTATCCCTTTATCATGCACTGTATTTACTTTTAGTATTCATTAGTACTTAGTATGTCTGTTTATTTGTTTATGTGTTTATTGCCTCCTTCCACCTTCTAAAATTTAAGGAAAATAACAGCAGAAATTCTGTCAGTTTCATTAAACAGTTTATCCCCAATATCTCAAACAGCACCTGGAACATAACAAGTGATCATTGAATAGATAAAAACAAAGAAAAAATGAAAATTGATACAGAAAAACTAGTTGATTTTTGGAAACTTCTTCCAGCTTGTACATTAATAAGTACCCACTTTGAATACTAATTTTAAAATTGTAAAATAATAGGAAAAATTTATACTGTAACCTCAATATTGCTTTAGTTTTCTTTTTTAGGTTTTTGCTTTGAATTATCCATTCCTTTTTTTTTTACATTTTTTCACTAAGATATTGGTTTCTTTAAAGTAATATAAAGGGATTCAATGTATTGTGTGTTGAAATTTTCACATTTGTACAGACACTTTTCTTTTTTTTCATAGCATGCTTTCAATTGTTTAATGTTTCATGACATATTAGGTTTTAAAAAATGTATAGAACAAATATTTTGAGATTTCTTCCAGAGAGCTCACCTATACTCCCAAGAAAACCTTCAACTTGTCTTCTTTCAAGTTTGTCATTCATATCACTGATATAATTTTTCATACTGTCATTTCTTGTTTTTATTTCACTTTGTTTTTCATATACTTTTTTAAAAAGTGCTTATCTCCATTTCTATTTTCTTGGGGTATCTTTAGGTCATTTTCTCGTATATGTATTATAAGGGTCATGACTTCATGAATTCTATCTAAAATGCCTGTTTTCCACCTATTTTAAGAGATGATGTATTCATTGTTCACCATTTCATAGTGTTTTCCCCATTTTATCATTTTAATATAGCTCCAATGTTACATGTGTTTTCTATTTGCTTAACATTGAATTAGCTCAGATTTATCCAATGTCGTGTTTACAGCCAGATGACATCTGTTTTGTTTTGTTTTTTCACTATCTACTTGCTGGTGAACACCCATTTATACTGGTTAAGTCTCCTTGCTGTTGCTCTGGCTGTGTGACAGTTTGGTGTGTAGACCTTCCAGCTAGAAAACAGGTATCACATGCGGTCTAACTTTGCCCTTTAAAGTTAGGTGGTCTCCTACATCCAAAACCATGATGTCGAAACAAGCATGAAAAGTTGCGTTCATAATAGTCTCTCTCCACCATCTTCATACCTCTGCTGCCACTTACAATGCTTTAAGTAAATTTGGTGGGATGTAATGAGTTACAGAGTACTCCCTTCTCTCCCTTCCTATGTTCCGGAAGTTTAATGCTACTAATACCCAAACAGGAAGAGACGGTGCTTTGAAGATACTACTCTACCTGTTCCAAGTAGCAGCACCTTCTGTTGACACCCAGTGAAATCATGGCTATCAGGTTTTTATTAAAAAACATCATTGAACTTGAAGACAGTCATTCAAGAAATATTGAAATACTTCCTTGACTTTCAAATGGATAAAACTAGTCTGTCTACATGTATAGGCCACTGGTTGTTTTTTGCTTAACCCAACATTAGCCTTAGAAGAATGGCATAGAGATTGCTTCTATTAGGGTTAGTTTTCTTAAGATTATTATTGTATTTTTTTCCTTTGTAGGTTTTTAACTCAAAGTTAGCTAAGACCAACTTAGGATTGCAGACTGCTAATCAGATGTCTTATAAATGTCAAAGTTGGAGAGTAATTTTTTTTAGCCTATTGTTATAATTTATCTCTTCTTCCATCTAAAAATGACACATGGATGAAGCCAAAGGGGGTAGGATCAAGGGTGGGAAGTGGAGATGGCTAGGGTAGGGGGGAGTGCTGAGGAGAAAATGGAGACAACAGTACCTAACAATATAAATAAATAAATAAATTCATTAAAAAAATGACCACCCTGAAGCAATACAGATGAGTAGAGTAGGATGCATGGTTGTAGGACAGAATTAGTGTGGGAAATGCCAACACCACAGAATAAGTGGCCAAGATTTGTTAGTATCTAATGCCTAGAAATTATGTCTTTTTAACTTCATGTAAAATATTATTTCCTATATTTTTGAATGGCTTTTTAATTGATTGCAACATAATTTTAAATTATTTGCATATTTGTTATGTATTCTAACTTAAAATTTCTAAATCAACATTATAGGGTTTTGGTAATAAAATGATCAGAGCTATTGAGATTCTTTTCAAATTATATGAATTTAACAAAAATGACCTACAGTGTTTCACTTAACCTCCATTACAGAAAAGAGACTTTTCTTTCATAAATGGAGATGGAAACTGAGTGGGGTAAAACTGACAAACTAATTTCAGTAGTGAAAAGTTGGCGTTCTTTTCAATGTAAGATACCAGTCTTTTGCAAAGGGGATTATTTTCATAACCTGTGTGTAATTCAGAAATGTCTGTGTTGGTTTTAGTCAACTGGCCATAAAAAATACATTATAGAGTATGAAATCACCAAAGCTCTTTCAAATCCTGGTGAATGTTTTATGTGGGTTATTAGTGACCTTTCTGCATTTATCAGAATGTCTTTTGTTTTGAGCATGCAGAAGTTCTGTAGCAGTAGAGACTAGCCCCTTGAGGTGTTTACTTGTAGACTTCTAATATAAAGCTGGTGGCTCTGTTGACCCTTAGAAGTTAGTTGTTTGTTTTGAATGAGAAAAAAAAGCTTGGTTTTCATAGCAGAATGAAAATAGAGCATAGAATTTCATGCTGGCATGGAATCATAGAATTTCAAAATACTAGGTATCTCTCTAGGAGTAATTAGAATTCTTGATTTTCTACATATTTATTGAATAAAAATACCAAAGTCCTTTTGCATAATTCATGTTTTGTGTTCTTGATATATAAAATAGGCGTGACTGAATCATTAAAAGCTGACAAGTCATTGTTATCGATTGACTTATGTTTAAAACTTATTTAGAGGCTATATCAACCATCTTTTCCAAATATGTCAATGATTCCTACTGTATATTTGAAAAAGTGGAAAACCCTAATTTCTGCCCCATAGGAAATATTGTTGCTGCTGTCCAGGGCTGTACCAGATAATTCCGTGGCATCATCAAGTAAATAGGGCAAAAAAATGTGGGTGTGGCAAACCTATCTTTGAATAATTCTCTTTGAGGTGACTAATATCACTATAAAGTATATGCTCCTGAATTGGGTTGTAGTATTCAAAAGAATAATTCAATATGATAAAAAAATTCCCTGATAAGTTTGTGTACTAACTTACAAATAATGATGGTTGCTATTGTTTTTGAAGTGTTTTTGAGGAATATGCAAACTTAACATATGAAGTTGAAATAAACCTGTAGTTTCAAATAGTTGCATTTCTCCTTAGTGTCACATGTATTTTTTATTACTTTGAACCCTTATTTTTTAATATATTTCAAGAAAATAATCATTTACCAAAAGTAGAGAACAAAAAGAAGTTCTTGTTAAAGTAGCTATAAGAGAAATAATGATGTTAGATAGCATTTAATTTTGAAAGTATTTAAAACAACTATTCCTGTACTTTAAAGTGGTATGATTTTAATTTTCTTAATCATAGAGAACTTTATTTATAACAGTTTAACTCTACAGTTAAGTATAAAAAGGTCAGTATTTTTTAAAACACTAAAACAAAATCTAAGAACCCATGTGACTAAAAGATACTTATATTTACACAATATATTAGATATTCTGTCCTATCTGTTTTCTCAACTAGAAATATAATATAAAAGAAATACTTCACCTCTTCTTTCTAAATCCTGTTTGATCCAACATGGGAAAAATACATTGTTTTTGGACTTCCTGGTAGAAAAAAATATGTATCTTTAACTGAATTAAATAGCTGCTCCTGCAAAAAGAAACTTGAAATTTGTCTTTGCTCTATTTCGCATCTGTGCCATATCTTCTATTAAAAATATTTCTTGATTTTTAGTGCCTGCTTGGTTCTGGTTATCTAAGCTGCAATAAGTAGCCTTGGGACCCCTGAAGGCACACCCCGCACACTTACGCTGCGTGACCTCAGGTCACAAGTAATGGCTGCAAGCTAATTGATTGAGAAAGGCTTGTCTGGCGGGGCCCCTCTGCGTCCTCTCTTTACATTCCTAACTTCTGTGAAAGAGGCACTGGCCGCTCAGCCTGGCAAGGAAGGAAAAAAGAGAGGAAGTTTCTCGTTCTGATTACACTCCGAATTCCCTTGTAGTGAGCTCTCTTCTCTCCACCCACTTCTCACCAAGAAGTCCTTAACTTGAAGGTGAACAATTTAAAGCCTGATCCCAGAGAGTTAAGCGAAAAATGGTTTGAGTATTTATTGAACTGAAAGAACAAATTACCTACTTCAGGCTGTGGGGAACGTGTGGAAATTATATTAAAACTTCAGCAAAGTGCACAGCCGCATAATACAGAAGCCGGGACTCAGATTGACAGGCAAATAAGCCAGCTCGTGGAAGGGGCCTCTGGGTGGCAGCTCTGGGCTATTGGGTGTTGGACAACTATAGGCAAAACTGAAATGGAACAGGGGCAGAAAATAGCACACTTTTACGCTACGCAACCGTGGCTTTCGCATGGTGAGTGCAGATTTAAGATATTATTTAAAATATACTCTCTATGTTGTAAAACAAGTAGAGAAATCTCTTGTGCTTTGAGGGAAATTACAGCAAGAGCCTTTCTTGTAAGTTCTAACAAGGCGGTTTGCTTTGTTTCTGCTTGATTTCACATTAAACTTGGCAATGCTGACTGAGAAATACAATATTTATTAAAATTGTCCTTTCGCTTAGGTCCTGCTTCTCTTTAACCTGAATAAATATTGTTTTAGGCAAATTGTGTGTGGAATAGACAATAAGGGAACCATGAACGGTGTGACAGAGTATATGTAAACATTTCATGTAGTCCAACTTTGTATCACTTCTCACCGCTTCGTGTTTGCTGCCTTAGCTCAGGAATATGTATATATAACACAGTCTGCATGAAAAGGGCTTTGTGTGAGAATTTCTGTGAGTTAAAGGGTCAGGGCCTGTGGGTTATCTGACTGCCAGGGAGAGTCAGTAGGGTGTCCTCTTATTTTTAACTTAAAAATAGAAAAAAGGGGGGCATCTATACTTATTAAAAAGTAAGTGTGTTTTGATTTCAACAGTTGACCTCTTAAAGTCTCTGTGTGTTGTCCCCGGCAAAGGATCGTTTACACTTCTTTTGAGAAGGAGCAGGCAAACTTCTTTTGTTTCTTTTTGTCCTGTTTGCATACATTTCACTGTTGAAACTTTGCACACAATTTATTTTCCTGATTTTAATTACCTTGAAAAATTACTGAGTGATTTCAAGGCAGATATTTTAGTGCAAATCCCTGGAAGTTAGTAAGATTACTTTTCTGGGAGAAATGCTACCCCAGAGTGTAAACTGTGCTTAATTTTGCATTTAACCAAAAACATGCTGCGTGTTAAAAACAATCAAAGCCTTCAGGAAGTGTTTCTAGAAATGTGGTAGAAGAGATTCTTCTTTAAAACCTGAAAATTTAGTATTACAGTTTCAATAGGTGACAAAGTAATATTGCTGTCATTGACTTTGTTTAAAAAGCAGTTTTCTTAACAAGGTGACTGCATTAGATGTTGCCTGATGAAGGAGTTGAAAAAATGTGTCTTCCATGCTGCTGATTTAATATAAGGCAGAGATCAGCATTGCTATGGGGTTTCATATTTATTTAAACTTTTTAAAGAGCAGCTCTCTAATGTAATTTTGAATAATCAGTTTAAAAATAAAACTGATGAAAGCAAGCTCCTCATATTTTGATATTTATAGCTTCTGTTTGCTAGAGTAAATTAGTGAATGGAAAAGTATTTTGAAGTCATTGTGAAGTTATAAAACTTCACAATAAAGGAGCAAAGCTTTTTAAGAAAGAATGAATGTGTTTTTGCTTATGAGGTGATTTTGATGCATTACTTAGCTTTTCTTCTTCAAAGATTTATGGAAAACTATCAACTATTGCAAAACTAGGTAACAGTCTTGACTTAATACAAGAATCTTGTATAAGAAGTTTAATTATTTTCAAGCTAATCCTATGATTCGATACAGGCTTCTTTCAAGAATTGCAAAATATGCCTGACAAATCCTTTTCTAGACGAGTTCATGTTCGTCACCTGTTCACGTTCATTCTTTTTGTGCCCACGATCACATTTCCTAGCTGTTTGTCAGTGCTACAGGAAAGTGAAATGTTTTTTTGAGAGAGAAAATGTTAGTTTTCATTTGCATGAACCTTTTGAGGTTTTTTAAAATTATGTTCTCATCAAAATCACCAAGGTGGTTTTAATAAGGTCTTTGGTACAATCTTGATATGACTAGTCAAGAAAAATGTCAATTGTTTGAGTTTTTCTTTCAATATGTTTCATTAAGTCAAGTTAAGGTGTGGCTGAGGGTTTATGAAAGGGTTTGCCAAGAGCTCAGCTTTTGAAAATTTCTCTCTTTGGTATCCAGATTCTACAAAAAGAAGAAAAGAAATAAACAAAAAATGTTTACCCTTTACTTATTCTCTCCAAACCAATCCAAAAACCAGAAATTAAAGGCAATTTCATTATTTTCCTCTGTTACAGCTAACCACAACTCAGGAAGTCACTTTATAGTCAGGGGCTGCAAAAGAAATGGGGTTTGCCCTAATAGAAGCAGATAAACAAAATAAAAAAGATTTACCGCTTAGGTTTCCTAATATTTAATCTTAAACTACTACGTTCAGTTTTTTCTGTTAAAATTTACTTATTGATTGGTTGTTGTGGTGAAGGCAGCTTTTGAAAACTTAAATCTACCTTAGCATCATTTTATAGCCATGGGTTTAAGAAGGTATATATGTTATGTAAGGCTAGTTTTACACAAAAGTTTAAATTATTTATTAGATTAATAGGAAACAATGGAAATATGTTCATAAATTAATTCTAAGGTTGTTTCCTTGAGCTATATATAAAACATTGATGAGTCATTGTCATTTCCATAGATTGCGATATTAAACCAGTTTAGTGTCTCTGTGAGTGTGTTTGCACTTTGGAGCTCACAAAGAGGGTGACAGAGTGGTCAGAACATGTGCTAGGGTTATGACACTCTTTGACTTCCTTAATTCTCATGGTCACTAAATTTCAGTATTTTTTTGTAATCCTGTAGTAGTAGACAGCTGTTGCAGTGAAATTATGCCTTCTCTATTGAGGAAAATGTCATTTTCCATTCTCATTTCCATTACATTTATCAATTTGTTTGTTAAGATGATATATTTTATTAAAATGTGGGGAAGAATCTATAGCATTAGAGTCTATTGTCTCTGACAAATTATGAGTCCTCTTAAAGGCTCCTGGAGAGTGGCAGCATGGTTTCCATTGCTCCTCTTACAACAAAAAGGGCACAGTGGGTATTCATCTTTGTAGGCACTTTGATGTTAAGAATAATGTCTTTTGTAAATTATGAAAAACTTAAAGATTTTCTTTTTAGAAGTTCTTCCTTTACTGTTGGCTCTAAGCTTTTATTTTCTGGAACATTTTAAGAAATGCGTGTTGGTGCTCATAATATAGCATACATATTTCTTAAATTCTCTTTCATACAAATTTATATATTTTTCTTTGCAGCATTTTTTGGTGAATTTCTCAGAATTACCCTCAATTTACTAATTCTTGTTTTGACTATGTCCATTCCAGAATTTTTTTCGACTATATATGTTTTCCTGGGAATTCTAATTGATTCTTTTCTCACAGTCACTTCTATCGCTTCATCTCTACTTATTTTCTTATAATTTATATTAGTGTTATTTTACTTTGTCTCTTTAGGAATACTAACATGCTTACTTTTGAAATTCTGAAATTGATCTATTATTTTTATGTCATCTGGAATGATGTCATTGCCTGTTTTTCAAAAATTTGCTGGTGATTTTTTTGTATGACTTTACATGTCTTGGACTTTCGGTTTTCAGGCCCAACTTAAGTGAGAAGGATTTTCCACAATCTCTCTCTCTCTCTCTTTGCTGACCTAAGCTCAGTGCAGTGGCCACAGAGCTGGCCCTGTAAGCTCTCTACCCCAGGCTCGCAATCTCTGATAATGGAGACAGTCATAGACACCAAGTCAGAAGCGGTTTGTCCCATGTTCTGGCTGCCAGATTATAGCTGATGTTTCTGGCCTCTCTGCATAAACAGCTCTATGTAAACCATGTCTCCAGGGCAATGGCCAGTTATTCAACTTCCTGTTATCTCAGATTTCAGTCAGTAAACCTGGCACTGATTTGCACTCCCTGTGGGCAAGTGTGGCACCCCAGTTGTCTCATGGATTTAGGAAATAACTTGAAATCAACAGTACACTGCAGCTCAGTTACTGTTTCTATTCTATCAGTGGTCCCCAGAAGTGTTTACTTTGTTGTTGATACCATTGTTACATTATCTTATTTAATATTTTATCAATCACTGATATACGTTGAAAGGAAAGGCAAGGAGCCCAACCATACTTACTGCAATCCATCTTGGCAAGAGATTTCCAAACCATGGGTTTGAAGTCAGGAAACATGAGTTCACTTTCTGATTCCCTTATTGGTTGTGTTAGGCAGTGCCTTTAATCACTTAAGTGTCTCCCTTTATTCCCATCAAAAATATTGATAACAATGTTTGTCTCATAAGTCTGTTCTAAGCATTAAATGGGATGATGTATGGAACGTAGTTAGCCTGTACTAAATCATAGTAAGTGTGCAAATTTTATGAAAATAAAAGCAACCAAAACCAAAACAAAACCATATATATTACCAAGTTATGTAATGAGTAAATGGTAAGCTAAGTGTAAACTACACTTTGAGTCTCTTGTATTCTGAGTGACTACAACATTACAGTTTTTATTATCTGAAGTGAATTTCTAACAATGAATGTCAAGTGCACTCGAGTTCATGTCGAACAGGTAGGTAGGTGTTCTGTTATGTGATCCACATACCTTAGATGGCATAAATGAAAAATTCAGAGACCTCAGCATAAAAAGAAAATTATTTTTTCAAATGATCCTTTCAATATAGTTGAAATCCATGTAGCTTAAGCAGAGTAGAAGTATGGAAGAGATAAGTGACATGGGAACAAGTTGTTCTTTTGGCCTTGACTTTTTTTACTTGCTCTTTTGGCTTGATTACATATATAACAGTTTCACCCTGGGATGGACTTCTATGATAGTGAAAAAAGGGAAGAGAGGGTCTTTTTTGAGGGTTTTGGATGTTCTTGTTCTGTAGCTAATTTATAATATAAGCGTCTATTCAATATTTGTATTTTTAAAAATCATCTATTTATACCAGTATTTAAATTTAGAGTATTGACATAGAGTGCATTTGACTGGGTAGGAAATTGAAGATTTGTGAAATAAAACATTTCTGAAAGTCAAAAGGTTCCAAAAGATGGTAAAGATGGGGATAGAGATGAAGCAACAACTAAACCTTAGAAATATTGTTCCAGTTTGAAAACAGAGAAAATAGCTCTCTAAGAAACTATTTTGCTGTGTATAATGCACATGTTTTTGCCAAATCTTTGAGGAAAAAATAAGGTGCACATTATACATGGGTAGTACCTGAAATACCTTGTAT